ACTCTGACTCCAAGAGCGCCAGAGGAAGCATTTGCAGCAGGAACGAGGCCAGCCCTTCTAGGGCCCCCTTCCTCTGCGCAGCTGGTCCCTGATGGCTTCTATCCGACAGCTGTTTCCCCAGAGTTTCCCTGTATCTTATTCAAAGGGCTCGGTAATAGCTCTCCACTTTCAAATTTAGGCTGAAGCATTCCCACTGCTTCCCCAGTTCCAGAGATGCCACACCCTGAGGCCCAGACTCTACACTTGCCACAAATCCTGCCCCAGACCAAGCCCAAAGCTCTGGTTCATGTCTGCCCCAAGTTCACCTTGAAACTTTTTCTCCAGTTTCTGCTCCTTCTCCCCACAAAGAGTCAGTTAAGTGTCCTCCATAAACCAAAAGGAGATATGGTCCCTAACCCAAACGGAAACTCAGCAAAGTCTGCAGAGTGGCACTGCTGCAGAAGCAGCTGGACAATGGGTGGGGCTTGCCCCCCTCCCCCAGCCCCCGAGGTTCAAGAATCTTGGAAAGTATTTAGTCCTTTATCTCCTAATCTTTCTGCTTGCAACCTCATCTTCTGTGGATCAGCCTCCATCCTTCCCACAGCGTTCCCCCCTCCCCCAGTAGCAAGTTCTGAAAGCAGCTGTCTGCTGGGGTGTGGCCCACAAGAATCAAGAGTCTCTAGCACTCATGAAATATCAGAGCAAATTCCCAAAGATATTGCAGTCAAGAGCAAAAATGGACTCTTGTGGCTTACTGGTTAAGGACCAAACGAGCAAAACTCCAAGGGTTATAGTGTCGAGGCGCTCGAGAAACTTTCATGTGAGCAACTCGGGAAACAACCAACAAGGAAATGACCTGTAGGAGGTTCTAGAGCAAGTCTGAGGAGAGGCCCAAAAGATCGTTTATCAAAGGGCCTAGAATGCTGTCCCACAAGGGGCCTGGGGACTGACTCTGAAGGAGGTAGAAAAGGATTTAATGAGTCTCTGAAAGAATGATTCAGAGTGACTTATTGGGATCTCAAAGACCTGGAGAAGAGGGAAGTAGAAAACACCTTCATGGTGCGTCTGGGCAAGAGCTGGGACAGATCAATCCAAGTAGGATCCCTGTCCATGCGTGCCATGCATGGCTTGCTACCAGCTGCACATTGTCCTCCCTGGGCAGTTCCATAGCCACTTCCAGATCAGAAATTTATCCTCGCTGGGTGGGAACTTGGCCTGACAGTACAATGAGAGTATTTTTCCCCTTGATGCAGCTTAACCAGTTCAAGTCCATACTATGTGAGTTGGGTGTGGCAGATGTGGGATTTCCCTCCTAATCTCCTTGAATCCATAAAACTGCTTCAGTTGAAAGAGGCCTAATCCTGGCCCTGTTCCCTCCTTTGTCACTCATGTTTCAGGGGCTGACCCCATAGTAAAGTTTGCCAAATTCCTTGGAGGGAATTCTCAGACAGGTTGCAAAGATAAGGTACTGTAATCAGGTGCTCTCGAGTCGCTAAGTCGCTTCAGTCATGTCTTACTCTTTGCAACTATGGACTGTTAGCCCGCCAGGCTCTTCTGGCCATGGGATTCCCCAGGCACGAATACTGGAGTGGGTTGCCATGCCCTCTTCCAGGGCCCAAACCAAGGGTTTAACCCATGTTTCTTACATATCCTGCATTGGCAGGCAGTTTCTTTACCAATAGTCACACACACACACACACACACACACACACACACGAATTGGTCCCCACCCCAAACAGATAACCCTTTATCTTCTCCCTGCCCTCTCACCGCAGCATAAACAAGGGCCAAAGAGTGCTGAGACTGTCCCCTCTGACATTGGCCATGGCTTCAGAGGGCCCTGAGACGAGGGAAGAAAGCAGACTCTTCACTCCCTCATACCCAGCCTACACACAGAAGCTCTGTCTTCTGATATAATGAAGTTCAGTTCAGTCACTCAGTCGTGTCTGACTCTTTTCGACCCCATGGACTGCAGCACACCAGGCCCCCCTGTCCATCACCAACTCCCAGAGTTTACTCATACTCATGTCCGTTGAGTCAGTGATGCCATCCAACCATCTCATCCTCTGTCATCTCCTCCTCCTCCCGCCTTCAATCTTTCCCAGCATCAGGGTCTTTTCCAGTGAGTCAGTTCTTCCTATCAGGTGGCCAAAGTATTGGAGTTTCAGCTTCAGCATCAGTCCTTCCAATGAATATTCAGGACTGATTTCCTTTAGGATGGACTGGTTGGATATCCTTGCAGTCCAAGGGGCTCTCAAGAGTCTTCTCCAACACTATAGCTCAAAAGCATCAATTCTTAGGCACTTAGCTTTCTTTATAGTCCACTCTCACATGACTACTGGAAAAACCATAGCTTTGACTAAACAGACCTTTATTGGTGAAGTAATGTCTCTGTTTTTTAATATGCTGTATAAGTTCATCATAACTTTTCTTCCAAGGAGCAAGCGTCTTTTAATTTCAGGGTTGCAGTCACCATCTGCAGTGATTTTGGAGCCCCAAAAAATAAAGTCAGTCACTGTTTCTGCTGTTTCCCCATCTATTTGCCATGAAGTAATGGGACCAGATGCTATGATCTTAGTTTTTTGAATGTTGAGTTTTAAGCCAACTTTTTCACTGTCATCTTTCACTTTCACAAGAGGCTCTTTAGTTCTTCTTTGCTTTCTGCCATGAGTGTGGTGTTATCTGCATGTCTGAGGTTATTGATATTTCTCCTGGCAGTCTTGATTCCAGCTGTGCTTCATCCAGCTCAGCGTTTCTCATGATGTACTCTGCATATAAGTTAAATAAGCAGGATGACAATATACAGTCTTGATGTACTCCTTTTCCTATTTGGAACCAGTCTGTTGTTCCATGTCCAGTTCTAACTGTTGCTTCCTGACCTGCATACAGATTTCTCAAGAGGCAGGTCAGGTGATCTAGTATTCCCATTTCTTTAAGAATTTTCCACAAATTTCCAGTTTGTTGTGATCCGCACAGTCAAAGGCTTTGGCATAGTCAATAAAGCAGAAATAGATGTTTTTCTGGAACTCTCTTGCTTTTTTGATGATCCAGTGGATGTTGGCAATTTGATCTCTGATTCCTCTGCCTTTTCTAAATCTGGCTTGAACATCTGGAAGTTCACAGTTCATGTACTGTTGAAGCCTGGCTTGGAGAATTTTGAGCATTACTTTACTAGTGTGTGAGATGAGAGCAATTGTGTGGTAGTTTGAGCATTCTTTGGCATTGCCTTTCTTTGGGATTGGAATGAAAACTGACCTTTTCCAGTCTTGTGGCCACTGCTGAGTTTTCCAAATTTGCTGGCATATTGAGTGCAGCACTTTCACAGCATCATCTTTTAGGATTTGAAATAGCTCAACTGGTATTGCATCACCTCCACTACTTTGTTCATAATGATGTTTCCTAAGACCCACTTGACTTCACATTCCAGGATGTCTGACTTTAAGTGAGTGATCACACCATTGTGATTATCTGGGTCATGAAGATCTTTTTTGTACAGTTCTTCCGTGTATTCTTGCCACCTCTTCTTAATATCTTCTGCTTATGTTAGGTCCATACAATTTCTGTCCTTTATTGTGCCCACCTTTGCTTGAAATGTTCCTTGGTATCTCTAATTCTCTTGAAGAGATCTCTAGTCTTTCCCATTCTATTGTTTCCCTCTATTTCTTTGCATTGATCACTGAGGTAGGCTTTCTTATCTCTCCTAGCTATTCTTTGGAACTCTGCATTCAAACAGGAATATCTTTCCTTTTCTCCTTTGCCTTTCACTTCTTTTCTCAGCTATTTGTGAGCCCTCCTCAGACAGCCATTTTGCCTTTTTGCATTTCTTTTTCTTGTAGATGGTCTCGATCCCCGCCTCCTGAACAATGTCATGAACCTCCATCCATAGTTCTTCAGGCACTCTGTGTATCAGATCTCATCCCTTGAATCTCTTTGTCACTTCCACTGTGTAATCATAAGGGATTTGATTTAGGTCATTCCTGAATGGTCTAGTGGTTTTCCCTACTTTCTTCAACTTAAGTCTGAATTTGGCAATAAGGAGTTCATGATCTGAGCCACAGTTTGCTCCCAGTCTTGTTTTCTTGCTGACTGTATAGAGCTTCTCCATCTTTGGCTGCAAAAATATAATCAGTCTGATTTTGGTATTGACCATCTGGTGATGTCCATGTGTAGAGTCTTGTCTTGTGTTGCTGGAAGAGGGTGTTTGCTATGACCAGTGCATCCTCTTGGCAGAAACTCTATTAGCGTTTGCCCTGCTTGATTCTGTACTCCAAGACCAAATCTACCTGTTACTCCAGGTATTTCTTGACTTCCTACTTTTGCATTCCAGTGCCTTATAATGAAAATAACATTCTTTTTTTTGGTTGTTAGTTCTAGAAGGTCTTATAGGTCTTCTTAGCCTTGTAGGTCTTCATAAAACTGTTCAACTTCAGCTTCTTCAGCAGTACTGGTCAGGCATAGACTTGGATTACTGTGATATTGAATGGTTTGCCTTGGAAATGAACAGAGATCATTCTGTCGTTTTTGAGATTGCATCCAAGTACTGCGTTTCGGACTCTTTTGTGTCCAATATAATGCAATCTGACCTCAGATTCCAGCTCCCTTTGACCCTTTCTTCAACTTTCTGCCTCTCTATTGTCACAGCAGATGTGCTGGGCCCCCACAGAGGAACTAGAAGTCACCCTAAGGGAACTTTTCATTTAAACACCTTAAAAAATACTTGCCTGCCATCCCTGTTTTTCTCTTTTCTTCCTGCTAGAGCAAAGATCCCGAAACTAGGACTGATGCTCTGACATCCCCCATCACAGTACTTTTCACACTGTGTTGTAACTTGTGGCTTAACTGTCCATCTTTCCTGAGGTTGGAGACACTGCTTACCTTTCCTAATGCTCTACTCCCAGCATACGGTGCTTAACATCCAGTAGGTACTCAGTCTTCTGGGAGAATGAGAATCCTCAAGGGAGCATACCTCGGTGAGAGGTTCCACTCTGGGAGCAGGGGGCGGGCGAGTCCAGTTCCTCTACACGGGCAGCTTCCTAGAGGCACCTCTCTGGCTTCATAACTAGAAGCTACCTTGTCTCCATGGCTTCCGGAAGATGGAGTTGGAGAAATAATCTCACTGATGAGGTTCTTCCAGAGTTTTCTAGATCCTTGAGGGATCTTTAAGCCTCCCTGGCCTGAAAGATTCAGCTGGGCAAGAGTGACCCAAGCAGGGCTCTTCAGAAAACTTACTCTAAAGCTCTGTGCATGCTTGCTAGGTCATTTCAGTCATGTCCAACTCTTTGCAACCCTGTGGACTGTAGCCCGCCAATTTCCTCTGTCCTTGGGATTCCCAGGCAAGAACACTGGAGTGGGTTGCCATGCCCTCCTCCAGGGGATCTTCCCCACCCAGGGATCAAACCCCCATCTCTTAAGTCTCCTGCATCGGCAGGCAGGTTCTTTATGACTAGTGCCACGTGGGAAGCCCACTCTAAAGGTCTAGGTTGGGCTAAATAACACTTTCTCTGATCCACATCATGCGTCTCTATATCTAATTGTTTATTTTACTGAAATTATCATTTTAAGTGCATATGTCTCTATAGCAGAACACTTGGGGTCCAAGTGATAGAAATTCAAACCAAACTATCTTAAGAATAAAAGAAAACAGCTGCTACCCTGGAACCTAGGCAGGGGGTGGGGGGGGGGAGGACGGGGGGGTGCCAGCATGGGGATGCAGGGCATCACTAGTGTAGGGACTGTCGTGGTGTGCAGGGACCCAGTGCAGTGGCTGGGATTGCTGTGGAGCTGATAAGAAACTACTAAAGTTCCTGTGGAAGCCAAATATAATTTCATAAGAACATAATGGACGGAGAAGAGAAAACCTATGGTGGCTTGAGGGCCCTGATGCCATGTATGTCAAACTGATATCTTCAGATGGTTATGAATTTATTGTAAAGAGAGAACATGCGCTAACATCAGGACCAATAAAAACCATGTTGAGTGGCCCAGGTCACTTTGCTGAGAACAAAATGAATGAAGTCAGTTTTAGAGAGATCCCTTCACATGTGCTATCAAAAGTATGCATGTATTTTACCTACAAGATTCAATACACTAACAGCTCCAAGGAGATTCCTGAATTCCCAATTGCACCTGAAATTCCACTGGAACTGCTGATGGCTGCGAACTTCATAGACTGTTAAACAAAATAAATTATAATAAACGGCTAACTCTTTTTCAGTATTTAATACCTGTAGTTCAGTTAGTAATTTTTTCATATATAGCATATTGCCTGTGTGCAGTTGAGCTTTAAAGTTCATTGCAAAGCAGATTATCTTTTGTTCTTTTGCATAGCAACCAGACTTGAAGTTTGCTTGCTTCATCAACAAATTAAGGACATTTTCACAAATTGAGAGAGAAACAAATATACAAAAAAAAGAAAACATCTCCACATAACCAGGGCAGGGAAATCCAGGGAAGTAACTAGCTTCTGGCCCTACTGAATCCAGGGAACCAAACAATGTCTTCGTGGTTTCTCATCCTGGCTCTCAATTCTACTTATCACTGCTTGGCTTTGTGCTTCAAAAAGAATTGGTTCTTTCCATGTGGTAGGCAAAATGGCCACCAGTGTCCTATACTTCCTGTCCCCAGATAAAAAATCCTAGAGGAAAATGAAATTTTCGCTGTAGCCACATATCAATCCCTACTAATAACCTACCTTATTAACCTTATATGAGTCATGTGCTTATCTAAACAAAAGGCTATGGCCAAGGGGATGGAGCTTTGTGATGGGTCAAATAGACCCTCCACGTCAATATGGCTTATGGTTTTTTGTTTTGATAGACTGGCTAAATATCTGTTTTTTAGATATTTATTCTGATGCTCAAATAGTCACAGATTTGTTCAGTGGGAGCCCCTGGAATCTACCTTCTGTGTCATTTTGACAAATTTCTTCATTCTTTGAGTGCTTACTTCCTTTCTCCTTCAACAACATGGTCCAAACTCATCTTGCATATTCCCAGCACCTGTCAAGAGTCAACCACTTCTCTAAGTAGTCTTGTTTCCTTTTAGTAGACAATGGTAGTTAGAAGTCAAGATCTAGATACAAAGTTTTCTGATTGCTATTGCTATTGTGTTATTCTTCCCAAGCCCTTTTAGTAAACAAGACTAGAGCACCAAAGAATTGATGCTTTCAAACTATGGTGCTTGAGAAGACTCTTGAGAGTCCCTTGGACCGTAAGGAGATCAAGCAAGTCTGTCCTAAAGGAAATCAACCCTGAATACTCATTGGAAGGGCTGATGCTGAAGCTGAAACTCCAATACTTTGGCCACCTGATACAAAGAGCTGACTCATTGGAAAAGACCCTGATGCTGGGAAAGAGTGAAGGCAGAAGGAGGAGAGGGTGACAGAGGATGAGGTGGTTGGATGGCATCACCAATGCAATGAACATGAACTTGGTCAAACTCCTGGAGACGGTGAGGGACAGGGAGGCCTGGCATGTGGCAGTCCACGGGGTTGCCAAGAGTGGGACATGACTTGGCATCTGAACAACAACAAAATGTATATGTATGGATATGTGTATACATCTGTATAAGTGTGTATACATATTTAAATCTATATTTACTTGTATGGAAAACCACAGGCTCACAACAATACCTCCAGTTTCAGTCCAAAATCAGAGCAGAGTTTTTGCCTTTGCCTATTTGTAGCTCCTTTCTCTATAAGTAAGAAATCTCATTAATATAGTCATTTATTCAATCTGCCCCCTTTACGAAAGCAATTTCCCATCCCCTTCCGTGTGTAAACACCCTCCTTACGTTCACTGGGCTCCAACAAGCCAGGCTGGGCAGCCCTACTATGTGACCACAATACTCACCCAGGTGAATCTGGACAGCTCTCCTGCACATGCAGTCCCCTCCTTCAGCTCATGCTCAGATTCTCTAAGACACTCCACCCATTCCCCAAACCCTCCACAGTGTCAATGCCTGCCTTAACTTGACTCATCATTACGGCATTGAGTGAATTCAGCACCTCATTTTTTTAATGTTATTTTATTACTATGTATTAAGTTATAATGTATATCTATGTCCTTATTTTTTAATTATAGCATTGCAAATAATACTTAAGTCTCTTTTGACAGTTGGCCTCAACTTATGGTGTTTTCTTTTTCTCTAGTAGTAATGCCTGCCTGCCATTAGCTTAATGTATATTCTTGTATTTTTGAAGTTTATATTCATATATATATGTATATGTTCCCAAAAGAAGCATAATATATATCTTACATGGACTTCCCTGGTGGGCTCAGACAGTAAAGAATCAGCGGGCAATGCAGGAGACCCAGGTTAGGTCCCTGGGTCAATAAGATCTCCTGGAGAAGGAAATGGCAACCCACTCCAATATTTTTGCCTGGAAAATTCCATGGACAGAGGAACCTGGGGGCAACAGTCCATGGGGTCACAAAGAGTTGGACACAACTAAGCAGATTTTATTTTGGGGGCTCCAAAATCACTGCAGATGGTGACTGCAGCCATGAAATTAAAAGACTCTTACTCCTTGGAAGGAAAGTTATGACCAACCTAGATAGCATATTAAAAAGCAGAGACATTACTTTGCTAACAAAGGTCCGTATAGTCAAGGCTACGGTTTTTCCAATGGTGATGTATGGATGTGAGAGTTGGACTGTGAAGAAAGCTGAGCGCCGAAAAATTGATGCTTTTGACCTGTGGTGTTGGAGAAGACCCTTGAGAGTCCCTTGGACCGCAAGGAGATCCAACCAGTCCATCCTAAAGGAGATCAGTCCTGGGTGTTCATTGGAAGGACTGATGCTGAAGCAGAGACTCCAATACTTTGGCCACCTCATGCGAAGAGTTGACTCGTTGGAAAAGACCCTGATGCTGGGAGGGATTGGGGGCAGGAGGAGAAGGGGAAGACAGAGGATGAGATGGCTGGATGGCATCACCGACTTGATGGGCATGGGTTTGGGTGGACTCCAGGAGTTGGTGATGGACAGGGAGGCCTGGCGTGCGGCAATTCATGGGGTGGCAGAGAGTCGGACACGACTGAGCGACTGAACTGAACTGAACTGAAGCAGCTAACACTTTCACTTTCACTTACATGGTCTTTCCCCTTCACTTGGTTCCCCCTTTTCTAGGATTCAGTGTGGAGGTGAAGGTTACAGTAATCTCAGTCTGCTGCCATCTTTTTTAGTAACTTTACTTAGTTATTTCTGGCTGTCCTGGACCTCCGATGCTGCGCAGGTTTTTCTCCAGCTGCGGTGAGCAGGACCCGCTCTCTTGCTGTGGGGCTCGGGCTCTGGGTCATGTAGGTTCGGTAGTCGCAGCTCTTGGGCTCTAGAGCACGCTCAGTAGTTGTGGAGCTTGGGCTTAGTTGCTCTGAGGTGTGTGGGATCTTCCTGGCCCAGAGATCAAATCCGCGTCTCCTGCGCTGGCAGGCGGAGTCTTTAGCCACTGAGCCGCCAGGGAAGCCCCTGCTGCCGTCTTAAAATCAAGAGCTGTATTTTACTTTTCCTCCAGCACTTGGCCCAATGACTAGGATATAGTGGTTACTCAATAAAATGTTGTTCTAATTTGATTTCTTAAGCTAGATTTCAGAAATCAAGTTATTTATTTTTTAAACTTTTTATTTTGTTCTGGGGTATAGCCAATTAACAAGAATTGTTGTGAGCATTTCAGGTGAACAGTGAAAGGATACAGCCATATATACACATGTATCCATTCGCCCCCAAAGTCCCCTCCCATCCAGACAAAATTTTTTTTAATCTCCCAAATTATTAGAAGAAAAGAGGTTAGATTTTTCTACCACCAGAACTCTGAGGATAAATGCTATGCTTATCAGGGCTTACAGTGAGATCACTGTACTCACCACGTATCTCACATATTTGACTCTTTTAGCATGCTATTTAAATGGTAGCAATATTCATGTGAAACTCCACCTTAGGAGGATCTTAACATATGATGATTTATTTATGATGGTTTGATTCATTGGTCACCTCATTTTAGAATTATTCTTATTGAAAATAATAGCAGAACGGTGATGACAAATTTTCCCCTGTAACTGTCCATTTGATTCAGA